AAAAAATCTCTTTTTTTTTTTTCTGTGGATTTGGTTGGTTGGTTGATGATGATGAAGAAGGCAAGGCTTGCTGAGGAACTGGAGAGCACTGTTGTTCTAGGTTCGAATGGGTTTATGGAAGAAAGGGGGAGAAGGGTTCAGGTTTTGCAGGATGTGGGACCCACTTTTTTTTCTTGTTTGGTTTTGGGGCAGGATGAGTCATACTACCATGTCATCTTTTTTTCCAGGTGTGCGTTTGAGGTGTCACTTTATTGTTGACATGTCATCGTGCTTTTGTTAATCAAGGACACGTCACTAGATTTTTAACGGATTTTTAACGGAGGGACTAAATCGGGGTCCAAATGGTAAACAGTAGGGACCAAATCAGGAATGTTTTGAGTTGAGGGACTAAGTCGAGGGTCTGTACAATAGTTGAGGGACCAAAATGGGGGTTTAACCTATTAGGAATGGGTTTCTGTTGCATTTGGAGGACGAAGGAAAGGGGAGGGGAAATTGTTGAGATTGGAGGCAGATAACGGTTAATCCTAAGAGGGAATTTGTCGAAGGAATGAGAAGAGGATGGTACTTGATTAGAGGATAGTACTTGATTAGAGGATAGTATTGCCGACTCAGAGTCGAGTCAACATACAAGTAAAACGCAATGAGGGGCGCGGGTTTAAGGATTTCATTCAAGAGCTTGTAATTTTCATTCTTATTCATTAGAGGTATTTTCTTTTATAGCAGTATCTCTTTTTCAATATTATAAGTATTACGTATTGATTACACTAGTAATATGTTTTTAAATCAAATATTTGTTTGGCAATGCTTTACACCAATTCACGTCATACGACACTTTATTTAATAATATAAATTTATAATCTTTAGTTATTTTTATATATTTTTATTAATTTTAATTAATATTTTATATATTTATAAAATAATAAAAATACTATAATTATAATCATATAACCACAATACACTACAGCATTAATAATAAGGGGTGTCGGATCTCGGATATCTTAAACTTACGTTCATGTTATTTTTATTTAAATTATTACTTACAAGTAGTAACTCACCTATTTAGAGATAAATTATCTATATAGAAATTAATAAATTTATAAAAAAAAATTATTTTTCTCATTAATTTTCTTAATTAGCGATATTTAGTCAATACTGTTAAACTTGAAGTTAAATTGAATTCTCTTATACGTGCTGCGTAGGGTAATATATAACTGAGCCAAGTATTCAAGGTCGAACTCGAGTTTGATCGAGTTCGAGTAAATCTGTTCTAATTGCAAGCTTTGAGAAAAAAAAAAATTTAGTAAACTACAGCACGTAAATTCGAACTTGAGCTACACCTGTGGAGTGCAAGGTAGATTTTTGCACCTGGCTTCATAAGCCATTTGCTTACATCATAAGTTGAGTTCACACCCTTCCTCCAACCCCCAAAATTTCTTGTTAATTATTATTTTTATTTTAAAAGAAAAATGATTTTGCCCTAGCTTGTTGTGAAGGCAAAATCATTGCATAAGACTTCGAACTTACCTCATTTTAGGCACAAGTCCTTAAACTAAAAATACAAATAAATTGTACCAAAAAAAAAAAAAAACAAATAAATGAGAGATCAGTGATCATTTCTTTTCATTAAAAATAAAAGGTTTTGAGTTTATGATATGCAAGTGGAGTGAAATAAAAGATGATAAATAATTATTTTTTATTGTACAACTAAAAAAAAATACAAATAAATAAGTTCTAGAACTCTACATGTGACTGCAGTAAATTAATCCCTTTTCAATAGATATTGTTATTTTTTATTAATTTTAACCTTTATTTTTTAGTCAGCTTTTGTTAATTTTAAATAATGTAATAATTAAAATGAAAACTTGATGTTAAAGCATTAATATGGTACTTAAGTAAAATTGGTAACTAAAATAAACTAGCTATGCTTGGCGCTGGGGTTACTTTTACAACTTTTGCAGTTCTCAAAACTCTTTTTCTTAAAATAAATTAATTTTAATTTATATTTATATAATTTAATGATCACAATAATATATTTTTTTAAAAAATTATTAAATAATAATATAATTTTTTATAATAAAATATTTAAAAAAATCTTATGATAATACGAACACTGGTCAATCACGAACACAAAATGCATGACAATTTTCTGTTTCTGTTCCCTCGATCTTATATATATATATATATATATATATATATATATAAAATTCCATCTGACTGCCGCCGTGAAGGCTTTTCCTCATTCTCTCCCTGTAAAATCCGATACAACAGCCCGGAATCCTCCGTTCAGCATCCGTCATCTAGCCGGTCGGAAGAACAATTACTCAGCTGGTGGATTTAATTGAATCGATTCAACCATCACGAAGTCACCTCCTTATTCAATGAAAGGTGTTCACTACGATGGCGCCACCAAGTAGCGCCGCCGCCGCCCTTTCTTCAAGGTATCAGATCCCTGTCCCTTTTACGTTTTTAACTTCGCTGAATTTTGCTCTCTTTGTGAAGAATGTGAATTTCCTCGCCATTATTTAATGATTGATTGTTTCGTTACTCTATGGAATTTCATAGTTTGGCTTTGATTACATTTAATCGTGGATCGTCCTCATGGAAATGAAGTAGGAAAATCGTAGATAAAATTGGTCACTGTTAGGAAGTTAAGGCACCTGTTCTTGTTCCTCTCCATCATGGTACCCTTTGATTGTTGTTTCTCTTCTTGTCTTTGAAGACTGAGCCTTCAGTCATGAGTTATAATTATACGTAGAATTTTTCTTTTTTATAATGCAATAGATGTTTTGATTTGCATTACAGATAATCTCTAAGAGCCTTCTCACCAATAACATAAAAGGTGGACGTACAAGTTGTTGTACAGGAAAGTTTCAGGGGTTTTTGATGAGTTTTTGTTTAGCATTTCTTATGTTGGCGCATTCGAGTAGTGCTCATTCTGTTTCCAAAGAACTGGCAAATGAAAAAGATAAGGTCATGACTGATGCTGACAGCAGACTTCCTACTCAGTTATCACCAATTGAAATAAGTAGTTCGAATAAGGAATTGGAATGGATAGATCGGCAACAAAAAGTTAAGGAGGCTTTCAGCCATGCATGGTCTGGATATAAGAAGTTTGCAATGGGTTATGATGAGTTTATGCCACTCAGCCAGCAGGGAGTTGACGTGTTAGGAGGTCTAGGTGCCACTATTGTGGATGCTCTTGATACTTCTATGATAATGGGGTTAGATGAAGTTGTTTCTGAAGCAGGCTTGTGGATTGAGTCAGACCTTTCAGAAAGGATTAGCAGGAAACATGAAGTTAGTTTATTTGAAACTACAATACGAGTTTTAGGTGGCCTTCTGAGTGCATATCATTTGAGTTCAGGAGATCAGGGGATGAACATAACACATAAGGCGCTTAAAGGCCCTAAACCAATTGTTTATCTAGATATTGCCAGAAATTTGGCTGATCATCTGCTATCTGCCTTTACTTCCAGTCCAACCACTTTTACTGATGTTGTCTTACATGAGTCTTCTGCCCACGGCAGAATTAGCTGTACTGCAGAAGTTTCCACTTTACAGCTTGAGTTTAATTACCTCAGTACAATTTCTGATGATTTAAAGTATTGCAGGGAAGATGTGAAACAATAATAATCTATCTAAAGATGAAACAAGATCCTTAAAAGTCTATCAAAGGAATAGTGCATGATTGATTTCTTGTTTTTTATCAGGAGAGATACCTCCAATAGCATAGAATGAGATATTATTTTTGGTATTTAAAAATATGCCAGATTTTTGCATGTTGCTAATGTGCTAATGATGTTTGATCTGCCTTCATACAATAAACGTCAAAGCAATTATATCTCTTACTCGTGTGTTGAGATCTATCAGCTAGGCTGTCCAGCTAGGGTTGCTTTCTTCAATCACTTGAGCCAATGATATATGGTGTAGAAAGATTCAATTCAATCTGTTGGCACTTTGCAGAATCAACCATTGGCTTTAAGTCATAATTTTCTATGTTCTATGTTTGTCCTTGGTGGTGATAGTTACATTTTTCCGAAGGAACTCTTTAATATTGAATAAATATCAATGTAACCCTTCTTTGATGTGTAAGTCAGTCCCAATCATTTAGGCTTGCTTCTTGCCTGGTACTCTTGCACTTGGTGCCACCAAAGGCATCACAAAGGAGGAAGCCATGAAGGACAATCTTCTCACCTTTGATGACCTGGAAAACCTAAAACTTGCAGAAGATTTGGCGAAGACATGCTTTGAGATGTATTCAGTAACTTCCACGGGGCTGGCTCCAGAAATTGCATACTTTCATACTCAGGTTAGTTGAATTTTTGTATACTTGGTTTCCTGAAAGGATATTTGACTAAGAAAATGTGCATGTGCACTAAACTCAGTTAATGTGCACTTATTTTCGGAAAAGGCAAGTAAATTCCCATTCCATTTAAAGTAAGGTATTTACAATGCCATATCCAGGCATAGTCAAGTTTCCACACTCCATTTCAATATCGTGCACTTATTTTCCTTTTCTGTATTGAATTCTGTTTCAACTCACTCTTCTTTTTCATTCATAATTTACAATCTGCAGCGTTCTGAATTCTGCTATCTCGTTCTGAATTAAGCAGGCACATTCTCTAGGCCGTCTTGATGGTGGAAACAAGAGTTCAAAATATGTGAATGACATAATATTCAAACGAGCTGACCATCATAATTTGTTGCGTCCTGAAACTGTTGAATCCTTGTTTGTATTATACCGTATCACTCAAGACCAGAAGTATTCTCTTGTTCTTATTCATTATATTATTAGCACATGCACACATGCAATTAAGCACACATGTAGATAGGCAAAAGATTGCAGCACATTTTTCCTTGCGATAACAATTTCTTCCTGCTTTTTGGAAAAATTTTGTGTTGCAGATATCGTGAATTGGGGTTGGCAGATTTTTGAAGCATTTGAGAAGTACACAAAGGTGGATTCTGGGGGATACACTTCTTTAGATGATGTTACCGCAATTCCTCCTCATAGAAGAGACAAGATGGAGAGCTTTTTTCTTGGTGAAACACTGAAGTATTTATACTTGCTCTTTGGGGATAACTCCGTTCTACCACTGGATAAATATATATTTAACACCGAAGGTCATCCTTTTCCAATTGAAGAATGGCAAAGCATTCACAAGGGAAGGCATGGAGAAGCTTAACGTTTGCTGGCCTGGGAAGATACTCTAGCGGTCTTAAACATGGTTTTGTACTTTTATCCCGTGATAAACGGATTCAATGGCCAGATTTTAAAAGGTCTTGGCATAACTCATATGCCTACAAAAGGAGAGTGACATGGACATTTGAAGACGTTCAGAAATTTCTAGTGATGGAAACCCATGAGAGATGACATTTGGGTTCTTGCTGCATTTGTAAGAAGAAAAGGGAAATTAGATCAGTCATTAAGATTGGCAAGGTCATTTGGGGATTTAATGCAGATTTATAGAGAAAGAATGAAGAGCCTCTTCAACATGTAAAGCCCAAAGTAATGTTACTAATACCAGCGATTTGGTTAGTAGTCATTAGATTTCAATCTATTTGGACTCATCATATGTAAGTTCCAACTCGTTTCTCTTAGGTATTGGGTGATATTTGTAAAACATTGTTACTTTATATTAAGCTAAATCCATGTCTGAAAAATTATGTTGAATCCCTTCTTTTTGGAAATTCATTTAATTCTCAAAATTAAATGAAGATTTACAATTGAGTTTCATGTATTTAGTTGAATTATTAAACATTAAAATTAAGTGTAGTTTCAAATACTAAAATTATTAAATTATTTTTAATAAATATACTATTTATTTATTAAAATTAATTTAATAATTTCAATATTAATACTACACTATTAATATGTAGATTTTGAAATTCATAGAATATTAAAACTTTAATTTTTTTTTTTTTTGGTACCAACCATTGCCATCTAGAAACTACAATGAATGTTGATTAATTCAGAATTGAATCAAGTCAAACATATATAAAAAAATTCTCTGAGTATCAATTTTTTCATTTAAAGAGTCAAACTCAAAATTTTATTTTAAAAAAGCAACCAAATTCTTTCAAATCACCAACAGATCTTCAGCGAAAACTTTAAATATTATATTGGGACTAATTCTGCTTATCTCATTAGCGGCAATTATTTTGCAATCTGAGAATGGAACGGTTATCATTCAACATAACTTTAATGGAAAAAGAGAAAACGAAATTCAACGTTACTTACTCAGCAGTTGAAACAGGAGGATCTCTCAACGGCAACGTTCACGTACGGACAGTAAAACGTGTGAAGAGGCGGAGTCGTGGAGATCCCTCCCCTTCTAGTACGTATTTTTTCCATTGACTTGACTATAGAACGCTAACCAAAACACTACAATTTTCCCTCCCCCAGACTCTAATTCGCCGCCTTGAAAACTTTTCCTCTCTTTCCTCAAAATTCGATCCAATTCTCACGAGTTCTACTTCGCTGCCTCCATTTGACCTCTGATCGGATCGGAACAAGAACCCTAGCTGAACTGGTAGATCTAATTTGATTAGATTCCATCATGTCGAAGTCACTTCCTTATTCCATGAAAGATGTTCACTACGATAACGCCAAGTTCCGTCACCGATCTTTCTCCAAGGTATTAGATCTCTGTCTGTTTTACGCTTTTAATTTCTCCGGATTCAACTTTCTGGTTTCCGATCGTTGATTAATTCGTATGTTTATGGCATTTCGTGTTTTGGCTTTGATTGCATCGAATTCTAAATTGCTTTCATGGAAATGATGTGGAGAAGACAGAGTGCAAGAATTGTTGCATTATTATTTCCATTCTTGATGCTGAATACATTTAGTATGCCGAGCATGCCACTAAGAAATAAGAATTTGCTGCTCTGTTACTAAGTGTTAGGAGTTTTCTCGTTGATGATTTTTTTAACATACTTAACATGTAGATCTGACCTTAAGTTGGTAATTGGAGCGTGGTTTAATTGTTCTTATTAAGCATTGGCACAAAATTACACTTGCTCCGATCACCTTGAGAGTTTATGTTCTCTGATTACTGAACCAATAGACAAAGTTCTGATAATGATAGGTTCTGTCATCATGTTTGAAACATAAGCGCTGTGATATTATTTTATATAGAAGTTTTTTATGATGCAGTAGATGTACAGTGTGCAAAGATTCTCAGATTTTTTAATTTCTATTCCAGGCGCTATCACAGACCCTGCTCACAAGTAACGTAAAACGTGAGTGTGTAAGTTGTAGTACAGGGAAATTTCTAGTGCTATTGTTGACATTTGGTTTGGCATATCTTCTGTTGACACATTCAAGTACTGTGCATTCTGTTTCCAATGAACTGGAAAATGGTATCAGGGCAAATGAAGAAAAGGTCACCCCTGGTGGGGGCAGCAGACTTAGAAAACTTTGGATAAAACCACCTAGGCTTCCTCCTCGTTTATCACCAGATGAAATAAGTGGTCCTAAGAAGCCTGATCTAGAGTCAGAATGGATAGCTAAGCAACAAAAGGTTAAGGAGGCTTTCATCCATGCCTGGTCTGGCTATAAGAAGTTTGCAATGGGCAATGATGAGCTTATGCCACTGAGCCAGCATGGAGTTGATGGGTTAGGTGGCCTTGGTGCTACTGTCGTGGATGCTCTTGATACTGCTATGATAATGGGGTTAGATGAAGTTGTTTCTGAAGCTGGCTCTTGGATTGAGTCACATCTTTCAGAAAGGATTAGCAAGAAAGGCCAAGTTAATTTATTTGAAACTACAATACGAGTTTTGGGGGGTCTTTTAAGTGCATATCATTTGAGTTCAGGAGATCAAGGTATAAAAGTAGAACAGAAGGGGCCTAAACCAGCTGTTTATCTAGATACTGCTAGAGATTTGGCTGATCGTCTGCTATCTGCCTTTACTTCCAGTCCAACTGCTGTTCCTTTTAGTGATGTTGTCCTACATGATTCCTCAGCTCATCCAGCCCCTGATGGGCTTAGTAGTACTTCAGAAGTTTCCACTGTACAACTTGAGTTCAATTACCTCAGTGCAATTTCTGGTGATCCAAAATACAGTATGGAAGCCATGAAGGTTTTGGCACATATGAAAACTCTTCCAAAGGTGGAAGGATTGGTTCCTATATACATGAGGTATGGGTCTTGCATTATTAGTCATAATGACTAAAAATGATCAGGTCTTTCTTTATTCATTCATGTGGCCTATTAATTGAATTCTTGTTATGGCACTTTTCATCTGCAAGGTGCTGTGTCTTATTTGACTGATAAAATGCCTAGAAATATTATTAAGAGTGGGTGTGTGTATATATATTTACATAATGATAATTTTGCATTCTTCTAACAATGAAGCCTCTGTCTCTTTTTACCATTGCTGATAGTCCTTTTACTTAGAGCAGTTACTATTGCAAAGAACCAAGCCATATGGAATATGAGTCCATTCTAAGTTTCTTTCTTTTCAACTTAATTTCTTTATATCTTAAACTTTTTCTTCTTATATCTAGCTCCTTTTTCTGGGTTGGGCCATTTGGTTATCATCCATGCTCTCCCACTGCTTCCCTGTATTTACATTTCTATTTATTTCTGAAACTGTTCCATGTTATCCAAAATCTTCAAAAACTTATACAGATGAATGCTAGCTATTAATTATATATGCTGTTTATCCATTTTTTTGGACAGAATGTTTTGGATTGATATCAGCAAGCTTTTCCAAGTTTAAATATTGGTAGAATTTTTCGTTCCTATCACCCTTGCTCTCCTACTGCTTCCCTGGATATACATCTCCATTTATTTCTGGAACTGTTATGTTATCCAAAATCTTCAAAAACTTATGCTGATGAATGCTAGCTATTAATGACATATACAGTTTATCCATTTCTTTGGACAGAATATTTTTTATTGATATCAGTAAGCTTTTCCAAGTTTAAATATTTCTTCTTCTTTTTTTCTTTTTTTTTTTTTTTTTTTTTTTTTTTTTTGTTGCTAATTTATTTTTGTTTGGATATACTCTTGAATTGCAGTCCTAAATCTGGTGAATTTAGTGGAGAAAATATTAGACTGGGATCTCGAGGTGACAGCTACTATGAGTACTTAATAAAAGTGTGGCTTCAGCAAAGAACAAGTCAAGATGGTAACTTCACATATCTATATGATATGTATCAGGAAGCAATGAAGGGTGTCAGACATTTGCTTGTTCAGAAATCGATCCCAAATGGATTGGTTTTTGTGGGGGAACTTCCTTCTGGGCCAAAGGGTGAATTTAGTCCAAAAATGGATCACCTGGTGTGTCGTTATTCCTAACTACTTGAGAACTTAAACTAGTCTAAGGAAAAAAGGAGATACTTAATTAAAAGTCTAAATCACGAAAGAATGATGCCTGATTATTTGCTTGTTTTTCCAGGAGAAAACCTGCAATAGCATCTCAAGATATTTTAATCTGTACTTAAAAATATGTTTCCTAGATTTTTGGATTTTTGTAATATGCTAATGATGTTAGATCTGCAGTCACAATAAAATTCAAAGCATGTTTCTCAAGATATTTTAATCTGTATTTAAAGAATGTTTCTCTGTGTGTGTGCATGCGCTTTTGCATGCATGTGTGTGTGGATTCATTAAACCCTTAATCTTTGGTGCAACAAAGATTAAAATTGGCTTTAAGTTAAAACCATCTAAGTTATATTTTTGTCCCTACTAGCAATAGTGCCATTTTTGACAGAAATTGTTTAATATTGAATAATCATGAAAATCCCCTCCTTTGATGATATGTAATTCTCTTTCAATCATTTCAGGTTTGCTTCTTGCCTGGTGCTCTTGCACTTGGTGCCACCAAAGGCATCACAAGGGAGAAAGCTAAGAAGGGCAATCTTCTCACCTTTGAAGACCTAGAAAACTTGAAACTTGCAGAAGATTTGGCAAAGACATGCTTTGAGATGTATTCAGTGACTTCCACTGGTCTGGCTCCAGAAATTGCATACTTCCATACTAAGGTTAGTTGGATTTTAATTGGCTTTGTATCCTAAAAGCGATATATGATCAAGAAATATGCACTGAATTGGGCCAACATGCCACTTTCCTGTACTGATTTCATTTTTGTTTGTTCTTTTCTATTTATTATTCGATCTTCAATAATCTGATTCTCATTCTGAATTAAGCAGGAATATTCTGAAGATGGTCTGGATGGTGGAAATAAGAGTTCAAAATATGTCAATGACATAATAATCAAACATGCTGACCGTCATAATTTATTACGTCCTGAAACTGTTGAATCTCTGTTTGTATTATATCGTATCACCCAAGATCAAAAGTATGCTCTTGTTCTTTATACTATGTACCACATGCACTCACAAAAAAACACACATCTTTTTCCCATGTGGCAGGGAAAGAGTGCACCTTTTTTTTCCCCATATAATAACTAGTCTTTCTAATTTTTGAGCAAATGTCATTCATTGCAGATACCGTGAATGGGGTTGGCAAATTTTTGAAGCATTTGAGAAATACACAAAGGTGGGTTCTGGGGGATACACTTCCTTAGATGATGTAACCACAATTCCTCCTCAAAGGAGAGACAAGATGGAGACCTTTTTCCTTGGCGAAACACTGAAGTATTTATACTTGCTGTTTGGGAATAGCTCCGTTATCCCCTTGGATAAGTTTGTTTTTAACACAGAAGCTCATCCTTTTCCAATTAATGGAACCGTCTAAGAGGATTGCAAAACATTCATGTGAAGGGAGGCCTGTAAACGCTCAATGTTGCTTCGCCACAAACTCCAGTCGTCTTGACATGGTTTTGTAGTATATCTTGTGACAAAGGGATTCGGTGGCCAGGTTAAATGGTCTTGGCTTAGCTTTCCCTTGTCATGTGCATGGCGATCTTGATCTGCAGTGATATGCCTACAGGAGGAAAGTTACATTGGCATTTGAATGGCGTGCCCGATCATGACAGGATCAGAAGATGTGTTTGTCTCATAGACATTTTTGAAAATTGAATGTGGATGGGGTCTTGCCCTCCCAAAGAAGTGTTAGAGTGAAATACAACCTATGTAATCAACTTAACTGGTTTAGAAGAATTTTGGCTGCTTTCAATTCCAAACCAACTGATTTGGTTATATTTTCTGGAACATTTCATGAAATTGCGTACACAGGATTGCCTTCTAATATTCATTGAGTCACTTAACGTTCTAAGCTTTCATCTTAATCTTAAAGGAGAAACAGATTATCACCATCTCGAATGACACAAATATCATCAATTTCTGCGTTCTCCGCATTTACAACTTTTGTAAATTTGTAGCCTCTGAACTTTTCACCTGCAGTTTGATGAGGATTTGGAATGAGTAAAGCAACTGAAGGTGAAGATAATTGATCCGAATAACCAGCTAGATCATGTTTATGATTTGAAATTCCATCATTATGGTTTGATTTTTTAGTTTGTATTTTAAATTTTAATTCAATTAGAGGCTAAACATATTTACTTTCCATTATTCAGGTTCATATTCAAGTGATCCCATGCAGTCAGATGGGGCACAGGAGCTTACCAGCAATTCTGAGCAGCTCTTCAATTGAATCAGGTAGAATTATTAACTTCCCAAGCCGCATACTTGATGGGCTACTGTTTTGAACCTGCATGTTAATAGTAACTCTCTTTCTGGTTGATTTTGCTAATTCTCTATTGCTGGGAGTATTGAAGAAATTAAGGACACTACTCTGTCTGCTTGGACTGCTCCTTGTGTCATCTGTGGTACCTGGGCCAAGAACCTGTATTTTATGTTCATCCGGTTTCCTTCTACTTTCATAAGTTAGTAGCAGCTCATATAAGCTCTTGTTTCCCTGTTGCTCTGCTAAAGCTTTAGGTGTCCACCCTCTGGCGTCTGATTTATTTATGTTTGCCCCTTCTTCTAGAAGAATCTTAGCCATTTCAATGTGCCCCTCTCGAACAGCAGTGTTGAGAGCTGTTTGGCCTTCCTCAGCTGTTGAATTTATGTCCAACAGAGACCTAGGACAACAATATCCTCTGCCTCTTTCAACCCTCTCAAGGGCTTCTAATCCCTGTACATCTATTTCTCTTGATCCTTGCTTCGACAGATTTCTCTGTTGTTCATCGTGGGATCCTCCATGTAAATCTCTTTGTCCTCCAAACCATTCTCTGTGGGTCGAGCCTGAATCTTTGTTTGGATAGAAGTTGTTGCCCTCTAGCCCTGGCAGTTTCTGTGAGAAAAAGATCATCAGTTTTTCTTGGTAATAACAGTATAATAGTATTTTTATCAAAGAAGCTATCTAGCGTGAAGTATACCATGAAAAAGTTTTGCATTATTATGTGTCCATCTTCTATGTTTGCTTGTATGGTGTTCATTAATGAAGTTCTGTTCAGTCGTAGAATTTGACAAAGTTCAGTGGTCCGAACTGTGAAGGGCTGCGGCCTGTAACTTAAAACTCCAACCTCTCCAAACATATTCCCTGCCTCTACCTTACCCAAAACCTGTATGTAACATGTAGGTATGCAAATTTTACATGGTGCTTATCCACCTTGTAGGGTATATACAAATCTCCAAATTACAGGACGTACCTGATCGTTTCCATCAGGATGGGAGATTAATTCCTGCAATCAGGAATCATCTTGGCATCAAATAAATGTCAGAAATTGTCACTGATAGGCTACATGTATGATTTATGCGATCAAGGTAATGTCACTTACAACTGCTCCTGAGACAAGTATGTATAGATCTGCTGGAGCTTCATTCTGCATAATCACATCTTCTTTTGGTGGAAAATATTCAGCATCCATATCTGAAACCTTTAAATTAAAGTAAAAACTTTATCACTATCTGCAAAAGATATCAAACTTGTGCATCTTTTTCATTGGGAGTTCAGCCTTTTATGAGATCAGGATACATTTTTATTTTAAAGAAAGCAATGGACGGATGAGGTATTATTACCAACTGAAAGAGGAAGTCATGAGAAACCCCTTGAAAGAGATAGACGTTTTGAACAACTGGGAAGAAGAGATAGTTTGCAATGCTTGAGCGAATGGCTTTTGGCAAACTATTTAGGGTCTCTTGCTGCTTTAGTCCTTCTGTTTTGAACTTCAAGCAGATGTGTGACAACATTTGGTCCTGTATACGGCATGGCAACTGATTTCTCGTAGCGAATTCTGAAGCAGCTTTGATTGTATCCCTCTGTAGCATCAAAAACAAATTCCTTGTTAGCTCCTCGGTTCAGAGAATCCAACTCTGACAAGGAGAATACCCTTAAATCTAAGAACAAACTTGGAGGCTTGTAATGCTGCAATCAACTACTGTGAACGACTATCGAAGCCATATATAGTTGAATAGTGATTTAATGTTATACCATCCGCGATAGCTGTTTGCATGATGTATTAGTCAGGCTTTATCTTAGACATTTTGCATATAGAATTGTGAGGTCTTTGCAAAAAAACAATATTTTTTGCAACATATAGTGGGATTACAGTTGTGCTGTTGATTATGACTCAGATAATTAACTTACCAGAAATTATTTGATATTTCAAATCAAAAATGTGTTTTATAGTCTGAACTGTTTCGAACTCTAAAATACTAACTGTTTGATAGGGAGACAGCCTCTAATATTGGGGGCTTTCCCCGTTAAATGATTTCTGTTTCATAGTCTAGACTGTAAAATAGGAAACCCATTTCAAATTTCTTTGCAGGTTAGTTACAAAATGGAACAGCATGAAGATGCAATATTACTTACAAAATTTCTGGTGCGGCTGGTCCACTGCACTACGAGGTTTGTCATGTTTCCAATGATGTAAGATGTCAATCCCAAATTGAACAGCATGTAAAAGAGGTCAAATAGCATTTCCCTTGAATTCTCAGCATGCAAGTCCCCATAACCTGTGGTGGTCATTGTTGTAATAGACCAGTAAATTGAAGTTATATATCTGCCCCAGAGGCTAGCATCTTTGAAATTTGGGTACACTGCTCCAATCCAAGTTTTTGATGGATCGGGATATCTATCTGCAATCAGATAGGCAAAGCATCCGGCACAATGCACTGCAAACAAGGTTACCTGAAATCAACCAGAGAAAGAAAGCAAACCATTTTGAAATAACTGAGACAAGGTTATATGAAAAACTGGAGATGGAAAGAGAGGAAATTCCTAATGGCTTACAGAAATGAGCTTGGTGCACCGAGTCCAGAAGTAGTTGAAGCGGATGTCTTTCTCAAGTCTGAAGGAAAGCATACTGGTCAGTAAGTATTGTGGTTCTCCATTTGTAACAATTCAGTAGTTGAAGAAAGCCAATGACAGTTTTGAATTTGTTACTAAACCTGGCAAACAGGGAGCTGACCCGTCTAAGACGCCAGAGTCTGAGCATGCTCAGTAGCCTAAACCAAAGTTCACTACCGTTATCTGAGAAGAGGAAGCTGAGAGACTGAAATGGAGCAGTTGAACTGACATCAAAAACGAACCAGGTAGATATGTACCTACATGTTGGATATGATTATGTAAACAAATATCAGTGATTGCTCCAATTGAAAGCAAACAGTTTCTCCTTTCTATTTGAAAAGAAACGTATGATAAAATACCTCACATACCTTATTGCAATTTTCTTGGGATCATCAACAAGGAGATAAGATCGGCTATCAACATATGCAACAAAGAAGGTGAGAACAATATCAATGGCAAAGAAACCATTGATGATGTGGTCAACAATGAAAAGTGCATCTTTCTTGTAAGGTAGAAATGCAACTTCGAATGGACAGATCCAGGCTGAGTAAATGACCAGAACAACAAGCCACATCTCCCAAGCCCTGTGATGAGCAATAGAATGTAAGAAGCAGCTATAGCACATTCGAAGATATATTTTAGTAAACCATGGTAAGGTTCATTACGACGTTACCTATAACGGGGATTGTAGGGAGAAATTATGTATCTCCGAAGCTTGGTTGTCTGGTTAATTCTGGCTCCTAGTGACGGTAGAAGATCACTGGAGAAGAAACTGCCACCGGTAGTGCTGTCCATAAGATATTCATCAAAACAGAAACGCTGGAAGAAGTTTTTGGAGCTGGAAAACGACATGTGGGGTGTTTGATCTCTCTAGGCTAGAGAAGAAGCTGTTAAAATTTTAGCAGGGTTATAAGTTTCACAAGAAGGGAAGCTCGTGATGACACGGGTTGAGGGTCCTTTTTATCATCCTTCATCTCAACTTTCTGCTGACATATATAAATTTGCAGGAAGCTTATGCAACTAGTACGTCACTGAGGATAAAAACAAAGTCAGGAAGTGGTGGAGAGGGAAACTTTTCATCCTGTTGGAACAAGAACGGTAAAAAGGGAAACAAGCAAAATATGACAAGAACCAAATGAAGGAACATAGAATTAATGGAGAGAACCGGAAGTGGCAGACATGAAGCTGCAGGTAATGTGGTAGCAGAAATGAATTTCTAGAGAGATATCAATGATAATGGCAATTGTAATTGTGGTGCTTCTGATGAAATTGTGCAGCTGGTGGAGTGTGTGGGAGATCCATCATCAATGCATGTGGAGGGGTGGAATGAGATATAGACAAGAGCTTTGGAAGGACAGATTTGAGTGAAAAACGGTTGGTGTTTTCACTTCAAATCTAGCAATGGACCAGACAAATGTAGGCAGTAGAGTTAGAGAGGAGTTCATTTTATGGACGCCACATGGCCCAATAACAGCTCCTTTTAGAGGTATGATACTTTTTGCGAAGCCACCCCCTTCCCCCTAACAAAATTCGATCCCCATACCTTTTCTCACAACTTCTCCTTCTTAGTAAGAGCCCCATGTTGTTTGTTTATGCAATGAGATTAGAACCATATGTATAAGAATGATTCCCGCCAGATGTCCTAAACGTCCCTCTATTTCGACCCTTTTCTTCTTGGCCGATGCTTTATCCCATTCATAATTTTCATATTACACCGACTTATTTCTGCATGGCCCGCATCTCATTATTCATTTCATGACTTCTTCTTCCTAATTCCATCCAAATTCCCATGTTTATCACATAAACGAAAAAACTTTTCTCTTACTTTAGCCTCTCAGCGATGTTATTTTTGTCTAGATGGCTTGATAAAACAAAACACACAAATATCATGACGGTTGCCTGTCAAACAATACTAAGACAAACTTGCCAATAAATTTTACACTGCATGTGCCGGAAACCAGGGACCCAGAGAGGTCCCCAACCGTACCCATCAAGATTTCTTTCCATATGTTTATGAACTGGCAGATCTAGCCCACTTGTTGAGAATGGAATTTTACTATTTCAGAATACGTGAAGTGAGATGAACCTTCTTGCCCATAGCTTGTTTTGCAGTTATTCAGTTTGCTATTCAGTGTCTCACGTGATTTGAGCATGCAGTAAGGCTAGCTGCTGCTAATAAATGCTCCTAAAAAAAAGGTATTATGTAGTCTAATGCAAGAATGAACAACATAAACTATTAAATGAGACATTTTATTAATTGGGGTGTGTTTTTCTTTATACCATTTCACTATTATTTAAAAAATGCAAGGGTGGGTCTCCTTAAATTTCATCTAATAATGTGATTTACAATTAAGGAAAGTAATAAATACTTATAGCATATTCTACACACATGGGAAAATAGGCACTATTTACTGCTCGTGCGTCAGAGTTGAGTTTGATTTTGGCCAAGAGCTATAGATATTTTATTGGGTCTTTTTATCTTATGCCTTTATAAATAAATGATAAAAGTGTATTTATTATATTTTTTATTGTAAATATATTAAAAAATATAAAAATTAATATTAATTTTAATATCAAGTAAATTTAATTAAATAATTAATAAATTAAAATTTAATTTTTATTTTTTAATATAAATTTATAATAAAAATATATATTTAATATACATTAAACTTCTACCTTTAACATATAAGTTAAACAAATCGTATTTCATTATCTAAGTTGGTTAGGCTTTATTCATGAGTCATGAGTTTCAGCCTAGGTCAACACGAGAGGCCTGTGACTGTGGGAAGCCCTGGCTGAGACGAGAATTAGGAGTAGTTGGGGGGGTGTTGGAATTAGATGAGGTGGAGAACTCAGTCAATAATTTTGAGTGTTGTATGTAATAAAATAATAATATTGAAGTAAAAAGGCATATATTTGCCCGCCAAATGCTGTGTACCACTCATTATTGGCAGTTAGCACGAATAGGTGGGATTGTGGGTTGTTTTTTTGGCCAACGGAGATTATGCCTTGAAGGGAAACATCTAGTCCATGCGAGTGCAAACAATACTAAAATATATTATCAATTACAATTATTTTTTTTTTATATTTTAGATAATGAGTTATTTAATAAAAAATAATTTTTTTACTCATTTTAAGTTTTTAATTTGAAATTTTTAATATAAAAATTTAAATTAATAATTATTAATGAGACATTTCTTAAGAGATGTTATCTTAATTGTATATAAAACTACTGTAATAACAATTTTTTTTTAAAAAAAAATTCACAAATAAATGCCTATTAGATTTTAAAAAAAAGTCATTAATAAACACTTTTTGAATTTTAAAAAATTCTTAATAAATACCCAATGAGCTAAATGTTACTTTAAAAAATAATAAATAATTATAGGAATTAATAGAGTAGGAAATAAATAATTATATGAATTAATAGAATAGAAAATAAATCTAAAATATTATATTATATAATTATATAATAATCTACCATATAAACCTCAATTAATATTAAGGTTTACTGAGTCCTACAATTAAATTGAATTTTTAGCCATAATACCATAGACTACACCTTAATACTAACCATAATACTATATAATTATAATTATATATACCTCAATTAATATTAGAGTGTGGGTCTCACAATTAATATCCAAATGAATGCAAACAAGTCTTGCCGAACATATAATGTGTGGTTCGAGTACTAGACAAAAAAAAAGGGTTTAGGGTTTTCAATTGTTCCTTATATATACATGTAGAGGGCAGCCTTAAAAAAAAAAATGATGGTACTGTTAAAAGGAGAGAAAGCATAAGCAAAACTGAAAGGGAGAGAAACCATAGGTAGTGAGAATTGATTTTATAGCTTCACTGTGCTTTGGAGTTTGGTGAAATTTATAGAGAAATTCATTATTCATAAGTAACTTTTCTGATTTCTACAATTTTTTCTCGATTATTGTGATTCATGGTATCATTTTTGGTTCTATGTTGCCAATGTCAATTCATGCATTTGGTTTTTTTTTTTTTTTTGGCCAACATGTCTTTGGTTGTTAATTCGAGTTGATCCTTCATATTTTATTGAATCAGGTTTAATATATGATCTTTCCTATTTGATTGAATTAGGGCTACATTACAAAAAAGGAAAAAAAAAGGAGAAAAAAAAGAAAGAAAAAAAGAGGAAGAATAACAAGAGAAAAATTGAGAAAGTAAAAAGTCAAGGAAATCCAAAAAGAGTTTTATATTCTATAATCAAAACTTGAATAAAATAAAAGAGTTTTTATCATGCATTGTAATTTTTTTCTTATTAATTATTTGTAATATTTAAATGATAGATTTCTTCGATTTTAATTGAATATGTGTTTGTTTTTTATTTAAATGAGCAATATATGAATGTGGACACATGTTCAATATCTATATGAAACAATATAGAAAATTGTCCTTTAGAAAGACAAAGAAAGATTGCATCAAAGCATAAGTTCACTGATTATATAGTATAAATCTGAATAGATAAGATAAGAGGTAAGGAGGAATGATTAGAATTCAGAAGAGAAAGAATATCATTAAATAATTTATTAATATAAAGAGAAAGAATAAATAGAGATAATTGACAAATACTTTAATTAATTATTAATTATTATAAAAACTTATAATTAATAAAATTTTAAAAAAAAAAAACATGGACGAACTGCGCGAAGTGTGGGTTAAGTTTTAGTTAATAATTATAATTATTAATATAAAAGAAAATGAAGAAA